ACAGCATGTGCTTGAAGAAGAGGAAGACCTGTATGAATCTGATGCGGAATACTTAGATCGGTAAGTTCCTTCCTTAACCTAGTTCGATCTTTATAAGTTTTATTTTTTAGTGATGATGATGAAGAAGAAGACGTTGAAGAAGATTATGATGATCGAATTAAAAGAAATTCTACCAGTCGAGAAATCTATGATGAAGATGGTAATGAGTGGGAAGAAGAAGTTATTGTTAGGCGGACACCCAGAAGTCGGCCTGAGAATTATGTTGTTTTGAAAAAGTAAGTGATTTGAGGCTCCGTTCTCTTTCTGCTACTATTGGGAGCCTCCTTTGCTTCTTTTTTTTTCTTATTTTTCTCGATTCAAAGCTTTCGGAAGCACTCGTATGTTATTTATAGTCTCCACTGTTTCAGATCCTCATCCAAACGGTCAAATCCTTTTCCTCAAAATGGTTCTCGTTTGGCTACACCTCAGGCGAGTTCTCCATACTATCGAGACAGTCCCCGACAAAATTCTGCTCGCTTTGTATCACCAGTATCACTGAATAAGCGATATCAAGCAAGGTAATCAATCTCTTTTATTTTGGACTTTTCTACTATCTGATCTGCATGCAGGAGAAATAGAGAGGATTTGGAGTACGACTCGTCATTCGCTCGCAATTATAAGCAGAGGCAAGAATTAGCAAAACCCGTGCAAGGGTAGGTTTCTGGCAACTTGCCCATTACTGTATTCCGTTTTACGACTGCTTTAGGAACAGCTTCTCTTTCAAAAGAAAGGCATCGTCCAGCGAGTTTTTAAGTTCGGATTCTGACCCAGACATGCAAGAGGAGGATTTTTACCCGAAAGGAAGATTTGACTTCGAACGCGACTAAATTTTTGGTGTTCGAAGATAAGCTGTAGCCATGTATTGGGTATTAACGCCTTTTTCTTCTGATTTTTATTGCATGATCTTTGGTTAATTTGTACATGTTGATAGCTAATTGTGCATTTTCATTATCTTATCTGCAGTTGAGGTTATCACATATTTTCTCTTAAGCTACTAATTTCAAGAAACCAATAGAGCCACTATAAGATCGCAAATTGACGTACCTTTG